ATAGTCACAAAGCTTGCATCTCCTTGGCTAGGGAATTTAATGTTTTTGGTGCATGGTTTAAAAAAACAAACAGCTGCTTATTCCTTATAAGTGGGATTGTTTGTATTCATCTAAAACATCTGGCTAGACATAGAATTTGTCATCTAGGAGGGTCCCAAACCTTAAGATATGTTAATGTTAAAGTAATATCACTTTTAAATCAATCTTAAAAGACACTTGGATTCAGTGTGACTAGCCAAAACTGGGGTGAAATATCCGCATTTAGACAAAGCTTTAATCTACTGTCTGTAGTCCACTCTTCAGTTGAGTACTGTTAAACTATTTTAGTGGACATACTTTCTCTGTCTAGTGTCTGGTATGTAACCTGTTTATTTTTCTGGCTCAGGTGTGGCAGATCCCTGAGAACGGGCTGGAGACCCCCCTCTCCCAGCCGGTGGTCGTGTTAGAGGGCCACTCCAAGAGGGTGGGCATCGTGGCTTGGCATCCCAACGCTCGCAACGTTCTCCTCAGTGCAGGTAACCTTCAGCTGTACACCCACTGCTCTCAAACTGAAATACTGTTTTGGTTATTGTCTGCCATTTGTCCACTCCACTGTGCACAGCTGAACTCCAAATCGGACCAATAACCTCACAGAGGGCCTTCTGTCGTGTTGCTTTGTGTGATGTAGGTTGCTTAAAATAACCCTTGGACACAGTGGTGTGTGTGTAGTCAGGCTGTGCTGTATGTGTCCATTTTAGGCTGTGACAACCAGATCGTCATTTGGAATGTGGGCACGGGAGAGGCCATGGTCAACCTGGAGGACATGCACCCTGATGTTATCTTTAGTGTCAGCTGGAGCCGCAATGGCAGCCTACTCTGCACCGCCTGCAAGGACAAAAAGGTCCGCGTTATCGACCCCCGTAAAAAAAAGGTTGTCGCGGTAAGTGGAAACGCCGCGGGGATTTGGGGGCTTGGATGTTTCCCTTGTAAAATAATCTTTCCCAGAATCAACCCCCCCAAGTTTGACTCAAAGCACATACAAACATGGCTGCACAGTCTGACGAGTGTGTTTCTGTTTTTAGGAGAAGGACAAAGCTCATGAAGGAGCTCGACCAATGAGAGCGATCTTTTTAGCAGACGGAAACATTTTCACCACTGGATTCAGCCGCATGAGCGAACGCCAACTGGCCCTGTGGAAAACTGTACGTCAGAGAAGTGGATCTCCTTCAATCCTGAGCACAACACACTGATACATCACATAAACACAGCTATCCATATTAAACTTTAACTTCTTGAACTATTGTAGAACCTGCATTTTGCAGCTTCTTGGCTGTGATACAAACCCAAATACTGTCAGGGGTTTTCATCCGTTTTCATGTTCAGCCTGAATGTGGGTTGAGGGTTATTTTTTACTCTCAAATGTTCCTTTTCATAACACCATAGCTCCAGCTGGGGGCGTTAAATTCAAAGGAAAACACCAACACTTCATTTCACTTTTCCACTTGCAATAACAAGGATTTTCTAATGTATTGGCAGAATAGGATTTGTTCTTATACATTTTTTGCTAAACTTTATACTATGCTAAATGTACTTGTATAGGATACTTTATTTTATTGTACACAGATATTTTTATAAAGTAAAAAGTACTTTTTCAAACCAATGTCTCTAGGTGACATTGGTGCCCTGCAATTCAAAGGTCCTCCATAATGAAACGTTGCTTCAAATACTGTATTTGTTTGCTTCCAGGACAACATGGATGAGCCAATATGTGTTCAGGAGATGGACTCCAGTAACGGGGTCCTGCTGCCCTTCTATGACCCCGACACCAGCATAGTCTACCTGTGTGGAAAGGTGAGCGGCCTTGGAAAGAAACTCTTGTTTTTTTTATAATAAATGAATTGTAAAACTGACTTGAGTTGTGACTGTGTGTCCTCAGGGCGACAGCAGCATTCGGTACTTTGAGATCACTGACGAGGCCCCGTATGTTCACTACCTCAGCACCTTTTCCACCAAGGAGCCCCAGAGAGGCATGGGATACATGCCCAAAAGAGGCCTGGATGTCAACAAATGTGAAATTGCAAGGTATGGCAATAATTATGTTTTTGTTATTCAAAACATGTGTGGAGTCGCACACAGTATAAAACCCTTTTTTTAAACAGGGTTTTTATCGTTTTTAAAAATATTTTTAAAACTGATTTTAAAACACATACAATAATACATTTGCGATATATATATATATATATATATATATACATTTAAATAATTGATAATTTCTGTTAAAATAAGGTTGAAATGTATATAATTACAATTATTGAATGTCTCTGAATGTCTGTTTTAAAGGTTTCCATGTTGCAGTTGCTGTTTATGATATTATTAACATAACAATAATCCTCTTTTAGGTTTTACAAATTACATGAGAGAAAATGTGAACCCATCATCATGACAGTCCCACGTAAGGTATGTCTGTGTTGGTATTAATTAATAAAGTATGCATTTTCCCCGCTGTCTTCATCTCCTCATGACATGTTTTGTGTCCTCTCCACCTGCCCAGTCGGATCTGTTCCAGGATGACCTGTATCCAAACACGTCTGGCCCTGACCCCGCCCTGGAGGGGGAGGAGTGGTTCGCTGGGAAGAACGGAGGTCCTCTCCTGATCTCACTCAAGGACGGCTACGTCTCCACGAAGAACCGGGATCTGAAGGTGGTGAAAACAAACGCCCTGGAGACCAAGCCAGTCACAAAAGCAGAAAACACCCCCACTGTCCAGAAGAAGCACATCTCTCCACAGCCCTCAGTAGTGAGTGTCAACATGTATTTTCCCACTTATTGTTCCTTTTATCATTCTTAAGTTTTTATATATAACTAGCTTCTTCAAAGTGCTTATTACATATTCCACGAATGAAAAGTGATGCACTTTTCAAACTCTCCTACAGCATTTTTTGCTGACATTTGGACTCCCCCATTAACAGTAATTATTATGGTCGGAACAATTCTCTAAAGTTATGGATCAGCACTTACTTTGGTATTTGGGTCATGACTCAGCAGAACAGCAAGGGAAAAATGGTAACTGCTGTAGGGCTTCCTTGCCTGTAATATCCCTGCTCATTTTCCAGATTAACGACAAAAAGTGATTTGAAATAGATTAAATACAGAAAATGTTCCCTCAAAATAGACAGTAAAGTTCTGAAAAACGTTTTTTTTAAGAAGTTGACTAAATCTCTTTCCATTTTTGACCAGAAAATGGACCAGAAAATGGAAGATAAACTGGAAGTAGTCCTCCGAGAGTTTAAGTCACTCAGGGACCGCGTCATCCTCCAAGACCGTCGGATCGCCAGACTGGAAGATCAGGTGTCCAAGGTCTCGATGTAAGATGCTGCCCCCTTTGCTGTTTTTGGAGAGGAACCGAATGGTCGGGGTCAGTCACGGCCAAATCCTTAAGATTCGGCTTCCGGCTTGGTGTCATCCCGCGATGAGACCAAGCCCTACATTCCAAGATTAACTTTATTTGTTTTCCTCATCATGTCTCCCATTTCACACTTTGCCCCGACACACACACCGAGAAAAAGGAAAAACTCTCCAAGCTTGTGTATACTTCTGAAGAAAAGACATTTTTGTTTTAAGGATAAAGTCTTAACTTCTTTTTTTTTTATTGTGGTAAAACATTCTTATGTGAAGTTTGTACTTACTGCTCAAAAACTTGTAGCATCAGTATTTCCATTGTTATTTTTCGTGTTGCCAAATATGAGTCGTGTGCGGTTTCATGCACTGCTTTTACATTTATTTGTTCTCCTGTCGTACATTCCAGTCACAACCTGGTAGATTGGTTTAGTCGAGCTGGATTTTTTTAAATAGCTGTTGAACTTTTGTCCTCCCACCAGTTTGCTCATTGATAACCATCAGATTTATGAATGTGGAGGAATTATTTTAAGACGTTTTGTTCCTGGTCTTCTGGGCTTGAAATGTAACATTGGGTTTTATTTGGGAGGGGAGGGGGGGTTGCATCTATATGGTGTAAATGTTGTGCAAAATGTAGTGGTGCCTCTTGTCACTGTTGAGGGGTCAAATTGAAGTCGCCCTCTGCAGTGCATACGTGGTCTTGGGAAGGGACCACTCACCCAGCTTGTGTTTCACTGAACCCCTGACAAACAGTTCTGTGCACATAATAAAGATTTTACACAGGAAGAACTGGCTCCTCTTTTTCTTTCTTTATATTGCTTCAGTTTTCATTCATCTCTATCCCTATTGGTCGAGTGTTTAGCTTATTGTGCGTCAGTGGGACTTGATATATATTCTTGACAACCGACTAATTGTTTCAGGTAAAACTTAATTTCAGTCCCAACCTCGACCCAGGACTCGAGTCCTTTTCAGTTAGCTGTACGTATCTGATTTAAATGTTGATTGGATAACACTGGCTCTTCTGCTGTGGCAAATAGTTGTTTTTACAGTGTGAGGTCAGCTTCAGTTTTAACAAGATATTCTGACTTTTTTTCAGATTTCTCTGCATGATGCTTTAAAATACTTGTCTCCACTAATTTCAAAATTAAATCATGACGACGGAAATAGCAAATGTACTAAATTATTTCAATATAGGCCTGAAAAAGGTAGTAATTTTAAAAACATGTTTTCCTTAAGACAAAAGAATGCATTTCTACACAATTGTGGACATGACTTCTGTCATTAGTAGCTATGGTCCTTCGTATAGTATGATCTTTAGCATTGAGACACTTAACACATAAAATATAGAGTTTCGGTATTATTAAGCAGCAGAAGTTTATCTTAATATCATTTTTTTTATTTTCTAAACCTCAACAGTTTTTTTTCCATCAACCACATCTCAATATGACTCTGACACAGGAAGTGACAGTTACAGTTGCCCCACATGAACATCTCTTTTTTTTCCTCACAGGATACAAAAGGGTGAGTCCAAGCCGTGCATTTTCTCTGTCTTTGCTAAATGTCCTTAAGCCAGAGCACTAAATCAATCTTATAATGATTAAGTGTTGAATTGTTCTTGTGTCTTTCACTGTGGCCTTGGTTTTTTTTTGCCCACATGACATTAAGCTCCGATCTTAAACAGAAGTGTGATCAGAAGTTGACATACGAGAATGAACTGTTTACAGAACTGATTACTTCCTACTACTTTATAAAAAGTACTTGTCCGAAAATCATTACAAGCAGAGCAACCATCCTAACCAGAGCTCCCCCTAACTTTCCAATAATGAGGTAAGACATTTCTTCTTAAAATTTTAGAAGATCTTGAAAAATTGAATTGATGTGAGGAGATTAAAAGATTCTTCTGATACATTTGACTTCCTTGCTGATGCAACTGAACCGTTGCATTTCTAAGGGGAGTGTTTGTATCTGTATCTATCTGAGTCTATCTGAGAATGTACATAGGCGTTAAAAAAAAACGTGTGTGAACATTTCCTGTTTCTTCTATCATGCAGTGCTACAGGCGGCACGTCTGCTCGATGTATGTTCTCTTGAGAGGCTGAAATGAGATGAACTTTGGTCTGATTTTACCCTCACGTCCATCCCTGTGCTTAATCCGCAGCAAGGTAAGACACTGACCAGTTAATATCTTAGTTTTGGTTATACGTTTCTGCTTTCAGATCTACTATTTTCTTTTATGTAATGGACTGTTGTAGAATAGCGTCTTAAACTTGCTCTCCAAAGGCTTTTTGTTCTATTAAGATATTCATTGAAAGAAGGTTAATTTATATATGTTCTTTACTTCATACATCTGACTTTGTAACCTTTGCTTCAGGTTACACCACTTACATATACAGAAACATTTGAAAGTAGATTCTGTTTGTGTAGACTCCTTTTAAATATGTTTCAAATGTACTCTCAAAATGCAGTAGTTCTTGTTTTTTCCTAAAAATGTAGCAATGGGTGTGAAGAAAGACGCATGACCATGTCCTCATAAGATGTCACTATTGCACCCATGACACATGTTTTCTACTTTTGTGTCTTTTTACCACATGTCAAGTTAAATCAACAAAGCTAAATTGTAATCCTTTCTGTCATTTCAGAAACAACAATGGTGCTACTCAACATGAAAACATATCTGGCCTTACTGTGGGGACTTTCTATTTGTTTTACTATGGAGTCTATGAGTGTGTCCATCCCAGAAATAAACTCAACTCCTGAACCAGACAAGACAACCAAGCAGATGACCAGTCCACATGTACCTCATATTAAAACTCACAAACCTACAGGAGTTACAAATGCAACAGCAGAGATCACTGTGATGCCCACTGTAGAAATGAAAATCGTCACTGGCGGAAGTGACAGCTCTGGTTTGGTTGCTATAACCTCTGTAGAAGCAACAACAAGCAACTCAGCTCCACAACTGCTTCAAACCTCCAAAGCGGAGGGCACAACTTCAGAGGAAGCACATCCGTCCCACACCACAATCTCAGAGGCAGCAAAACCTACAGAGGATCAGACACAACAATCACCCACCACCACCGATATAAGTGCTCCTTTAACACCTTCTGTAGCGTTGGCAAAGTCTTCGCCGCAGCCTACCTCCACCCATAAGCTTGAAGTATCATCCCAGTTGTCTTACACCACCTCTCCTGCTAATACTGCTCAGGGTCCAGTCTTTACCCAGACCCTCGTCAGTCCCTCAGCTTCTACTACAACCATTTCCACATCCACCACCATAACTGAGATTTCTTCTACGTCTCAGCCCGTTTCTGAGACAACACCTGTCTCCACATCACATATTCCTAGCACAGCAGGGTTGAGGTCAACTGCTGAGTCCCCCACAAACTCATTCTCCACCGATTTACCCATCTCCACCACCAATGTGTCCACCACCATTGTCCTAACCACCATCTCTCCAACCAATGTCCCTCCAACTAATGTCTCCACCACCGATGTCTCCACCACCAATGTGTACACCACCATGGTCTCCACCACCAATATCTCTCCAACCAATGGTTCTCCAACCGATGTCTCCCCCACCAATAACTCCCACTCCAGTATCTCTACAACCAAAGTCTCCCCAACCAATGTGTCTACCACCAATGTCTCTCCATCCAATATATCTACCTCTAATATTTCTTCCTCCAATGTCTCCCCATCCACCTTCTCTACCACCGATGTCTCCCCAACCAATGTATCCACCACCACCAATGTCTCTGCCCTTCCTGCTTGTGTACCCAAAAGGTTACCAATTCCAACCACCAAACAAACTCCGGTAACTACCACAGCACCTTGTGAAGTCTCAAAGAGCCCGTCCAGCACCGAGGCCCAACCCTGCTCCAACCGGGGCTTGGTGAAGCATTGCCTCATCGCCATTTCCTCCTTGGCTGCGTTGGCCACTTTCTTCATGGTTACTACCATCATCCTCTGCACCAGGCTGTCATCGAGGAAATACAAAGTGAAGATGCCTCAGCCGGCCACAGAGATGATTTGCATCTCGTCCCTGCTGCCTGAAAGGGATTACACGTACTCGAGGCAACGCAATGCAGTCACTAACGGAGTCCTGGTGATGCACGGTGCGGAGGACAGCGATGAGGACGGAGGAGACAACCTCACTCTCAGCAGCTTCCTTCCAGATAATGACCGCTATGTTTAGAGTGAATTATTATTATTAAAATCAGACTTCAGAATGGACTGATGGTTATGGTCTCTGTAAAGCGGAAACAGTTGCATGAAGTCATGCTTCCGGTTGGATGTTGGTGGTTTGGCTTGACTGCATGCTCAATTGCTGCGAAGGAACAGACATAGGAACCACAAACAAAACCAAAACAGTCACTGTTTCGTGTTAACGCACCATTAAGCATATCTGGCGTTTGTCAAGGCCATCAAATGTCTCTGCAAGAGTTATGACATTTTGCATATTTTTATACCAGCCCACAAGAGATTTTAAGTCAATTCAGGATGAAGACACTGATCAAAGACTGTTTTTTTTTTACATCCTGAGCTGAGCCCTGACGGTATTTCACTTAGCAACAGGAGACAGGAAGGCTTGTTTTGTCAAGGGATTAGTCTTCACAGACACTGTTCAGTTTACAGATGCTATTCTGGTAGCACTAGGGCTTCACTGTATGATTGATGGTAAACTGTATGTGCCTTGTTTATCCGGGTGTAGAGATGCAGCTTGTATATTATGATAACTTATTAAAATAAGGCTTCATTTAACAGTTTGGAATGCTTAACGTTGGCTTGGTATCACCTAATACTGTTTGTTAGTACTATTTTGGGACACATGGAAACTATTTTCTGACACTCTTTACTTTGTTAGTTTTGTGCTGATATCCAAATGAATTTCTTGAAAGTACTACTAAGTGTAATGCCTACATAAGAGTCTTAGCTATTTTTAATTTAATGGGAATTTGTTATTTGGTAATCAAACAGGTTTAATTGGGGCTAACAACTTCAAAGGAAATTATTTGAAAAAGATTATACTTTATTGACCAAGAAAAACTTGTGGGCTAATAATGTATGATGATCTCCAGTGAAAACAACAGCTATTTGTTCCATGTTAAAGGTGTTTAAAGTCCGCATTTGTCTCTAAATGGTAAACAGTCACAATAAAACTGTGTTCCTTGAAACAAGTCAGTTCCCTATTTTATGAAAGGCTTCTCTCCTATGCTGGACTGGATTTCATATTCACTTCCCTTCCTGCAAAAAGAAAACAGAGCCCTGAATGCTTATTGGTGGGGGCGGGGGTTTCAAAGTGAGCTATGTGCAACTGAAACAGTCACTGGTGACTATCAACAGAACTGAGACAAATGTAAACCTGGAGTTTGCAGGACATCATCTCATGCTCCTAATGACCATATAAAGCTAGACTTGTCTTGCCTGATCTCAGACACAGCAGAAGTGGCCAAAATGCATTCACACACATACACAATCACTTGTATGGCCCTCTCATAGGCGGTCACACTCCCCCTAAAGTGGTCACACACACACACTGTGAGTTTAATTGCTTTCCTGTGGAGAAAAATCCCCCTTCTCCTGACTGTTACGGGGTTTGTCCGCACAGGAAACATTAACCTCTTCCTGCATTAGCCGGTCACTCTTACAATCTGCTCTCTGACTCTCTTTGCCTGCTGTTAGTTATCACTGTCAGAGGCTGAGGTTGAAGATAAGGCCAAACTGTCACTGAGAGGCTTCTCCTGCAGAAATCATGGAGAGAAATATTAAAAGGAGAAACACATGTTGCAGTTAATGACATTCCAGTGTTTGTTTGTGATGTTTTTCATTGTCATTATGTCTATGCCATGCACATCTTGTTAGCCTCACAGGAGAGTAGAGGAGAGGGGGTCCCTGCCCCCACAGCACTTTATAAACTCCTACCTAACGAGAACAATCTGTGTGAAGGCCGCAGAGCTCAGACACTCACTGGGAGGCTGAAGGGGGAGGAGAACAGTGGAGAGGCACTATCCAGACAAACCTCCAGCCTGAAATCTGAAACTACAGAAGTGGCGTGGCTCGCCGAGCATTTGCAACTCTTTGCCGTGCTGTCTGTCCCTCACAGTTTATTTTTTCCAGACCGGTTTCACACATCATCCCTCAGAGGGGATTCCAACAGAGAGACTTCTCCTGCCACAGTGGATAGTGAGTAAAATGTTTCAACATTTGATAACGTTTTTTTTTGGAGAGACATTGGAGGTTTCTTGGAACTGGGAATTTAAAGTGGCTGATGTGACAGCATCATGATGCATTCAGGGCAGCATCAACCCTCAGGAAGTATTATTAATGGCTATTAAAAGTCAAGAGACAATACTTTGTACGACATTCAAGTCAGAATCTAGGTCAGAGTTCCTTTTAGCAAGGGACAATTTATTCCATGTGTATGTGTCTGGCTGCTCAGACATGTGTGGCCATGTATATTTGGTTGAGTTAAGTTTGTGATTAATGCTGAAAATAAAATACATCCCACTCCCCTTTTTCTGGAGGAGACAGAGCCTCATGTAGCCCAGCTTGCACACATCTGGAGCAGCATGAGGATAACAGTGTTGGAGCTGCAGCCAAGACTGTGCAGAGAGCTGGTTGTGATCCAACTAAAACATTACAGCAGGGTTTAAAGGGTCAGGTCACCCAAATTGAAAGACAAACACCTTAACACTCGTACCCCTTTCAGGATATCCATGCAGATCGTTTTTGGTTTTATTTGGCATCGTTTTAATGTATTTTCTAATATATATGCTAGCCATTACCACAACGGTTAAATGGGGAAATATGCTCTTATATAATATGTGTAACTCTGTACACTGGGTTTCTGCTACTGTACAGCATGTTTGCTCAGTACACTCGTTGTTTCTAATAGTTCAGGGCTGAGATGGAATAAAGCCAATTTATTTACATTTTTGATGAAGTAACAAGGTACAATCAGGTGAAATTGCATAAAAGGTGGCCACCGTAGGATATGCTGCAGAGATATGTACAGTATAGAATATTGGTTAGAGGCAGTATTACCAAATGGATCAATGCTTTTTATCATAATTGTGTGATAATCCCAATGTATTAATGTACATTTAAGTTACAGAGCTTAGTATGTGTTTGGCCAACACCGTAAGGCCTTTGCAACTTTTGTGAAAGAAAAGAACATGAACTAATCCAATATAACTATTTAGACAAATACAACTGATAATAAAAACGATTTAAATGTGGTGTAACTTGCAAATTGAGCATAGATAGGCTATGTGACTCCTGGCAACTTTCTTTAGTGGAGGGAATATCCTTCCAGCCAGATGTTAAGAAAGGTCTTTGAGGATTCAGGAAATACCTTTTTAGAACAGGATGCAGCATTTTATTTTAAATGGATTACCAGGCATTGATGTTTCATAAAAACAGATGTTCAGCTCTGTGAATAACATGTAAAGTCAATACATGAGGTATGAAAAGTATCTCCACATATGGCACTGACATGTCCGTTCACTGTTATTTACAGATCCTGAGGGGAAACCATGCTCCCGATGGCCCTTCATCTATTCGGTCTCTGCGTGGTGTTTTGCATCAGCAGCAGCTTGGCCAACCCATTCACTTTGTACAGTCCTCTAGAAGGAAGTACAGATGAGGAAGAAATCAGTATCTCAACTTCCTCTCTGCCCACTGGCCACCTTTCCTCTGAGTATCAAACCACTGGCCACCTTTCCTCCGAGTACCAGACCACACCTGTTGGCCCCGTCCATGTGGAAACTGACTTTCTGACTCAAGCTGTGGACTTTCTGCTGCAGAACATGCTCCTTATACTTGTTGGAGGCTCCTTCATCCTTCTTGTCCTCCTCATTATTTGTGGAGCAATCATAATGACCCGCAAGCGCAAAGTCAATGCCTACTACCCGTCCGCCTTCCCCTCAAAAATGTACGTGGACCACATGGACAAAACCGGAGGAGCTAAGATCTTTGATGAAGTGCCAGAAAAACCCGTACCTGAGCAGGAAAGTGAGCCAGTGGACTCTCACAAGCAGCTCCAGGCGGACATCATGATGGCTGCCAAGAGGCTGCGTACACCAAATAAAGGTGTCGATGCTGCAGAGGGAGGAGAACCTAGTGAGAAAGTAGCAGACCAGAGTCCTGAGGATAGCTCTCAGGCAGATGGCAGTATCCTGGAGGAGCTACTTCCAACTCTCCCTGAGGAGAAGGAGCTGTGTGAGCTTTCTGACAGTGAAGCAGCTGCAGGAGGAGGCCCTGAGACGAATCCTCCAGAAGAAGAGGATCCACTGGAGCCTTTGACTGGCAGGGGTCTCCGGCCATCCTCTATGATTATCCACAATGACTCGGCTTCACTTCAGCTGATCGCAGGAGAGAAAACTGCCTTCTGAATATTCTGAAAACTGACATTAAAGCTTTGACTCCAGGAATGACAATCACTCAACTTAAACATCACATTTTCATTCAGCCATTTTTGCATTATTGTATGTTAATATTAAGTGCAGGGAAGGTGCACACTGAAGGCTGTTGCTTTGCTCAGATTGACTGAACTACATTAAAATCAGGTTCAGAGCAATTCGCTAAGCACGTGTATAATAACTTAAACAATGTACTTCTGCAAAAGTATTGAAAAATCAGTACATACATGTTTAAAATGAGACCGGTAAAGAAAACCACTTCTCAAAAAATAGGTTTTGGTTTCAAGATACTTTTATTGCAGACTGTCAAGGAAGGATTACTAAACCACCACAAATAACACTTAAAACAAATGGACCCTTTCATTGTTTCAAGCCACTTTACTTTATTGCATATCAAAAGGTCAGTGCTTAGGGTGCATATAGGATACAGCTCTTAGCTTTCATCATTATCTCCATCACACCCCAAACACAATCCCAAAAATAAGGCTCACTTTTGTATCAACAGCCCAAACATTGTTTACATTGTGCGTTTACGTGACAGGCTATACGATACAGTATGCAGGGTTAGAGGAGCACGGAAGCCTGTTGTTATACTGCTACGAGGGTTGACGATGGTGTGCATCAACATATTAGGTGTGCCTCATCAATACTGCAGGGAATTGAGGATGTTGGACTACTGCTACTTCTCCTATTGGCAGCAGATAGCAACCAGTGATCACCCAGCTCACTGTGAGGCGCTGCGTTTAAACGCTGGCCCTCACTGCCTCCTGCTGGTCGTCCTGTTTGCGGCGATAGTCAGCCAGAGCAGCCTTGATGGCATCCTCTGCAAGCACTGAGGAGAAAGACATATTAGCAGAGGTGGGAGTAAGTCCTACATGTGCAAGTCACTGTGATGAAAATGGATTCAACCCACACTATGACCTTCCTTACACACAGTTAATCATGTGAAATCTAAGACAGACTGACAAAAAACGTAATATGTCAATACAAACGCAAATATTTAATTTTAAAAACTCAAGTCATCTATCTCAAGCTTAAGTCAAGTCTCAAGCCATGAATACAAAGTCAAGTATTTTATCAAATGTTAGTCTCTCAAGTCCAAAAATATGCAACTCGAGTCAAGTCATGTGACTCGAGTCCCCACCTCTGCATATTAGATATACATACATGTGTGGAATAGTTTGGAAAGGAAGAATATAATGACAAATGCTCAAAACTTACTGGAGCAGTGAAGTTTCACTGGTGGAAGACAGAGCTCTTTGGCAATGTCAGTGTTCTTAATTGTCAAAGCTTCGTCCACCTTAATAGAAAAAGAACATAGATAAAGTAACTAACACTTGAACAAAAGAGGATAAAAAGAAATACAGGACACAATCTCCAGAGGCAAACAAGTGTCCTTAATGTGTTCACTCACAGATTTCCCCTTCACCCACTCAGTGGCCAAAGAGCTGGAGGCGATAGCAGAGCCGCAGCCAAACGTCTTGAACCTGGCATCCACAATCTTCCCATGGTCATCCACCTCAATCTGTCCAAATGAGAATTTAATTAAATGCCAAAGGAAGAAAGTACGCCATTGTATAAGTTAATGATCCTGTTCTTAAACATACAAGTAACAATTCCCTTTTTATACCAGTGGCTTACCATAATGGTTCCTGCTACTGCTCAACTAAATTACATTCTGTGTTGTTTCTAAAAAATAACTTGGGAAATGCTTTATAGCAATGCATGAATAAATAATATAAGAGTTAGTGCCATCATCTTGGTAAAGACACATGTAATCTCTCTGTGCAAAGTGTGTCGTTCCTCTAAGTACTTTTAAATGTGTGAATATAAATCAGTCTTAATGGCTGTGTGTATAAATAAAGGGGGTAATCCATCCATGCTTAGTGACACACTTACCTGGAGCTTCATAACATCTCCACAGGCTGGAGCGCCAACCAAACCAGTCCCTACATTCTTGGAGCTTTTGTCCAGTGTGCCCACATTTCTTGGGTTCTCATAATGATCCACCACCTACAGAAAGAAAAGAGAGTAATGTCAAATTCAGTTTTAGCAAGTTCACAATAAAACATAAAAAAATAATAAAGCATTATTTACATAACAATTGTGTAAAATTGAACAACTTTTACAAAATCAAATTACCCTGGGGATAAATACATTATTTCTGATTTCTGTATATGACATTATTCCACAATACTGTTATAAATGTATCCTGGCAGGCTTTTGCATCTTTGTCTCGAGCTTCTCTGTTATACAACTGCACATTTTTACCATTACGTAAGAGACATTGGAATACACAGATTAGGACCAGATTTCAATGTCAACTAAATAAACTGCTGCATCCAGCCCTCCTCCCCCTAATTCTGCTGAGTCACTCTGACTTACACAACATAAAGTGAATGACATTGTATCACAAAATAACCTTAAAAAAGCCAACATTTGCACCCTTTATCATAGTGCGTTTGTGTTTGTTTGTCCTCAAAATGTAGATACACAAAGGTATGACCTTTCAAAAAAAAATGTGTTTAACTATTTTTGTTTAGAATTGCTTATTTAAAACAAATTACTTTATGATCTTTTAAGGATTTGTTTTGTTTACATCTTTAAATGCTAGAAGATGCAGAACCATTATGCTAAATGTAAAGCTAAGTACGTCACAGCAAATAAAAGTACGTGAAACAAAAAGGTATAGGCCTTAGCAGTTTTAAACATTTAGAGAGATGCCGTTTACCAATATTATATTATAAATCGATTATATCACTCTCTCCATGTTGCATCAGAGGATCACATTACACAATGAAATCCAAACTGAACATGTGGATTAACTCGACATGTTTATAATGCTGCATTGCATCAAGAACAAAAACACACATTTTCCTAAGGAAGGCTATGTAACAGAATATTTGCAGGTTTCTAGCAAATAAAGCTCATTAAATCATAATAAAGCTAATCAGATGTAATTCAAGTATTAAAGTTTTGGCTGATTAGATTAGTGACGTCCTAATTTACTGACAAGCTAGGATGAAACAATGTTGTCAACATAACTCTTTCGGTGGTTAACCAGCTGTTTCTAAATTGTATGAGCAATGTAACCCCGTTTCTCATGATACTCCATTTAAGCCGCTACTACTCAAAGCTGGTGGTAATAGTGAGTAAACATTAGCCAAACAGCAGCTAGCATACAGTGAACTCTCCCCATGGTGAGGCTAGAATAAGTGTTTTACCTTCTTGTGGTAGCAGCACTGGGTGATGAACTCCGGAGCAGAGAGCCTCCTTGTGAGAAGAGCCAGAGGACTGAGACATGTTTTAGCAACGGTACCCGCCATGTTGACAATTTAGACGAATGTCGCAGTTTGGTAGAGGGCAGCTAGAAGCCTCTTGTGCAACCTGTATGCACACGTCACTGCTCAGGGAGGGGCTTAAGTAGTTGCGTCTGCGCATGCCCGGTTTATGTAAACAAACACTTTTTTTGTAAACATAGGTTATGAATGATAAGAGCAACGTATACGTAATATTTATGAAAGAAGTAGCATTCCTCATAATTTATTTTTGGACAACATTTTTACAGTGACTGTTTACATTTGACAATAAACCAATTGAATGTGTTGATGATGATGAACCATTATGTTTATTAGTTTTGGACTTGAAGGAAAGATAATTATGTTCTGTGAATCCCATCCTTATGTTCAAAATAAAATGTTGTTATAAATCTTTAACATAATCAACATGGATTGTATTGTAAATGTAAAGATTATGGAAAATGTTACATAAATAATATATTAACATTGTCAAACTTATAAAGATATAATTAAAATAGCTCTGTACTTTAATCATTATCTTTCTCAAACTGAGAATGCTGGACCTTCATTTTCAAATGAGTATTGGTACATTGTTGTTTCACTTATTTCACCACCACTAAAAAGCATTATGAAACAATTTCCTGGGAATGGGTATAATTTGCTGTTTGAATGAAAATAGAACACCATGGTTTTCACTGTCCATTCTTTTGTTTTTTTGTTTTGTGTGTGTTACTACGGAGAGGGTAAGGGCCACATGAAAAAAAAAATGTTTGGGACGTGACAAAAATATGAATATGAATTATGGGTAACGGTAGAGAACCAACAAAGTGAGAGAATCAGCTATAGCTGAGATCCTGACTGATCACCGGTCACCTGCAGTTATTGAGGCCCTGCACACAATCACACCTGAGCGAATATGTCGGTGGTTGGGAAAGACATATCGCCCTACCTTTTTAGCTCTAATTATTGCAGATGAATCTGCCTGTAACATTAGTTTAGAGGTCAGAACAAAGGAAGATATTTTCTAATTAATGTAAATCATTTGACATCATTACCACTAAATTGTCAATATATTTATATATCCTTTTGTACAGTCTGAAGGGGATTAAAACAGCAAGATAATATTTGTAATTTAATCTCAATTATGAGTTCATATCAAAATCACAAAGATTGTGTTGAAACCACACTGTATACATAACAAATGTAAGTACACATAACAAATGTAAGTACCCCAGTACCCGCTCCTTGACTTTAGCCAAACAATTTAAAAGGACAAAATCAACATAATGTACCGAGACCAATCTTTTTTCGAGGGTCCTCTTCTTCTTTTAAATTAAACCGTGATATATTAATAATACAGTAATATTTGTCAACCTAAAAACCTGAGCCCCACATGACAGTCAACTTTATATTTTGAATTATGTAAAGCATTTATTACAATCATTTCCCCCACTTTCATATTCACAGGGTAGATTGTGTTGGAAATTCCCCACTTAATCACCTTCTGGTAAGAAATGAACAACTTCTATTAACCAAAGTTGTGTTATTTAATAAAGAGTTAAAGCATCCTATACAGGAAAAAAACACAGGAAAGTGAAGGTCTCAGCCAATCAAATTCTACGTTTAAGACTATTGAAGAGGGGTGGATAGACGAGGTAACAATGCACACAAGGTGATTACATTTGCTTACATTCATATGGTAATTTCCCTGACAATGGTCAAGGCGACACCCTGTCTGTTGAAAGCGTGAGAACATTCAATAGAAAATAAAAGTTATAGTGGCCTATATATAATTTAAGGAGACTTATGATACATTTCCACTATATAGGTCAATTTAGACTGTGTGGTTCCCAGAGAGCTGCAGAGAATGTGGAGAAACCTCAGGGTGATGGACTTCTGTGTCTGTTGGTTTGGCCGGAGAGGAATGAGATAGAAATGTATTTTCCTGCGAGGAGGAGGACAGCACCAGGTCTGATGAAGGAGGACCTGCAGATAGGCAGTTGCTGTCGCCCACCTGCTTCAAGGTTCGACGTGTTGTGAGCTCAGAGATGGTCTTCTGCATACCTTGGTTGAAACGGTTGGTTAATTGAATTACTGTTGTCTTTCTATCATCTTTAACCAGCCTGTCCATTCTCCTCTGACCCCTGGCATCAACAAGGCGTTTTCGCCCAGAGAACTGCCG